AATTTTTTTCCCCATACAATTTAGTAGTGCAAGTAGGATTTTCCCATTAAGAAACTTAGCAGTGATGGTGTTGCTGTCTACTTTCTGAACCTCTCCAGTATATAACTATGTAGTGACAATTTAAAAAAAAACACACACACTCAAACCACAACTAACGTAAACAGGACATTGAAGTTATACAATGGAAATAAAAAAATAAAATTAGAATGCTTCCGTATACAAACTATAACGATGAAAGCTAAAAAACTTGATACTCTCTAAGATCAATTAAGTGGTATCATTGTTTTTAGAAAAAAATAAATATTCTTAATTTTTATGAAACCAACATTCACAAAGTTACATTTACTATATTCTTAACTATAAAAAACTTAACCCATCAAATGAGGTACTTGCTACATAGTTAGGCTACATTAAACAGATATTTAAAATTACTCATCAAAAAACAAATAACTAACTTTTTATAAAAGTAAAGACTTAATTTCCACTTATATAAATTAAATATCTTGTAATGTTTATACTTATTTTGGAGAAACTACCCTTTAATCACTAAATACACTTTTTATCTCAAAGTGTTTTTTCTTTATTAAAGATCAAATTTAGGCTTATTGTTTTCACACTACAGATACACTTATATTTCTTAGAATAAAACAATAAAAATATAGAATTAGTTTCTAAATAAAACTTTGATCAACTATACAAGATAACTATGTTTTCATCCACCTCTCCATCAACCATAATAATTTCCCCTGCTTCTCCTTGTTCACCTTGATTGCCCTAAAAAGATGACAAAATATTTATAATTTGTAACAAACTCAACTTATGTTTGTTAAGAGAACATTAGAGCCTTATATAATTGCTAAAATATGTTTCATCTTGTTTTGTTTTAAAGAAAAACATGTAATTGAGAAATATAAATACGTGCCAACTCAGAGAGACTTTGAAAGAAGTCTTTAGAATTTTAGTAGAGAAAGTTGGTTTAATCTTCCCAGAGTTCAACACTATAGGCCTATCAAAGAATGACACTATAGGCCTATCAAAGAATGACACTATAAGCCAATTAAAAGAATGATGAGGTTGAGATTTCTACATGAGATGATTGATGTTAGGAATGAATGTTAATATAAAACAGTGTTTATATAAATAATGTATGTAGTTTTCTTAGTTTGGTATATTCAGTGACAAAATGCTGTTACATTTGATTTCATTGTACATTAGCTGGTTCTTTTGCCTGTTCATTTCGATGAATATGCTACTTTAAAGGTTTATATAACTTTAAATATTAAATTTTCCAAATGATAAAGTTTCAGTATCACTTCAAATACTCAAGAGCAATAAATGTGGTTTTATCTTTCACTTTCAAAATTAGAACACACATGAATAAAAAACTGGCAACTTGTTGTCATAAACTGATATGGTAGCTACTATGAACTATTATTATTATTTAATACTTAATATATTAAATATCTATCTCAATGACACACAAACAATAAACAAGTGGAAAAAAAAAGACAGATTTTTAAAATATAATTGAAATTCTAATCATGATTTTGATTATTCTAACTTTTTGAGTATTTTTTATTAAATTTGCATACAATTACCTTTTCTCCTTTCATCCCAGGTATTCCATGATAACCATCTTTCCCTGTTAAACCCTGTTACGTGTAAATATTAGTACATTAGTAATGAATTACATTAAACTTGCATGAATAGGGATCTGAAACTTGGTTACTTTAAACTTAAAAAACATATATATATATGAAAATTATTTCTATATTTTGGTACAAAAATGAAAAATATAAAACTTGAAATTCATTTACGCATTGTGAAAAAACACAAAACACTTCAATTCTTGATATTCCAAAGTACAATAAATAATGGTATATAAAATTTCTAACCAAATGAAAATATTAAATTATGACTCAGTTTGTTCAGCCATAATTACCAAACGAATTTATTTTATTTACATCCCAGCATTATAATAATAATCCCTGTAGACTCCCACTGGAGCATAGGGCCCCAAAAACACCTCGCCGACAGAAGTTATTGTTGCAGTAATTTTTTTACCATGTTGGTTCTTAAGGGGCGGAGTTGCTAGCCCTGTGCGCAACTCTCCTCCTTTCTCATCCTGGACTTGGGACCAGGCAATGGTAGTGGCATCCCTGCCGGGGAACGAACCCGGTACCTTTGGATTAGAAATCCAACGCACTATCCACTGCGATTAGGGACACACATCCCAGAATTATAAACTGTTAATTATCTACTTGTAATAAAACTGTATGGTCATATATTTATTGCTTTTTCTATAAAGAGAAACCATTGATTAATTTCTTATGAACCCAGTGACATAATACATTGAAAATATGCTCCAACAGGAGAAAGGCTATGTTTTGTACAGCACCAATTGTTATAAATTAAACTTTTGTAATAATATAGATACAAAGGACATTATTTGCCATTGTACATTATTTTCTGCATAAAAAACAAACAAATATGAACTTTAAAATTGAAGTTTCTGTAGTGAACTAATCTAACACATATAACATTGCAGCTTTGTCACTGTAATTAACTCACTGAACCAGCATGTTGAATGTGATCTACGATTTTTATTATTGTAGTTCACATGCCATACAAACTAACAAACAGATGTCATCTCGTTTCTTTTGAACTGAAATTTACTACTGAAGTAGGATCACATGTAAACTTAGGTCTTTAGAATGACTCTACATGCTGAGCTACTACACCTGAATGTGATTTTACATTTTTATAATCATAGATTACACAATTAACTAACACGATCAACCATTTATCTATGTAGGGCCAGACTGTATAGTATTGAAAAATTTCGGGCCCATAATTTATTCCTTAAATAAATTACTGGAATGGGAATTTTCTAATACATTTTATTTATGTGTTAAACTTTTTTTTGTGGATAAACATTCACATTTTTCTTACACCGAAAATGTATTTCCAATATGTACTTACCTTTCCTCACACAAAGCTATCTTGATCTTCTTTCTTTTAAAACATTTTACACTCAGCGTACCAGTCTATATACCCCACAAATTTCACACCACTTTTGAACATTTATATAGCAAGTGACCACCCTCCACCAATAGTACTGCACCACCTACATTGACACAGCTATCTCTGTCTGATGTTCCCACTCAATATTCACTTTCAAGCATTGGCAGGATCTAATATGAATAACACCAGCAGTGGGGAGGAAGGGTGGAAAATGTGTGAGTACCTATCAGAAATACATTTTCAGTGTAAGAAAATGTTAACTTCCAATACAGTCTTACCTCCTCTCACACAAAGGTAAAATCCCACACTGAAAAGGTGGAGGGGCTAGTGTAGGTGCTGAACAGTGAAACAAAATGGAAAGCAACTGCTTAGAAATAACTGGTGTGCTTAGAGACGAAACCAAAGCACACATATGGGGCACTGCACTACTTCTGGAACAGGTATGCTCTTCGCCCTGTAAGAAGGAAATAAACCTGACACGGGTGGAAAAAAAAATAGATGTAATCAAGCTTAATTCATTCTGAGAGGTGCAATCCATAGTAAAAAATGGTGCAAGATGAAATCATTGCACAAATCAGACTGGAAAACAGCTGGCTCCAGTAGGTGAAGAGCTGTTCTATGAAACAAAAACTTGAAGCAAACTCGATACCTACATGAGGAGGAACAGCGAGTCAAGGGACAGTTTGCTGAAATATAACGATGGAGAAGAACAACTAGCCGTGGCTATGTATCTATCCAACCTCAACTAGACAGATGAGGTTCCACAATCTGTCCTTAGCATTAGCAGGTTGAGAATCACCCAGATAAAAACAAAATTACAGTAACATATATATTGTGGCCAGGGCATGTGATATATACACACCAATTGCAACCATAATAAACAGATTGTCATACATCAAGCAACCAGAATTAAGACGAGAAAGTTAGCATTCAGCCAAAACCAGACAAACTCCCAAAATCACCATAAGAGCAAGAAGTACAATAAACCAAACCTGGCATTATAAGATAATGTCATTGCCTCAACTCAACTGTAAGAACTTGTATAAGAGTATAAATTGTAACACACCCAACCGTAAAGGCAGGGAAGACATACTCAACTGTAGGAGTAGAGAAGGAAACCTCCTGCAACCTGAATTAATGAGAAGGGGGCCTCTATTGCACTCAACTGTGGGAAGAGGTTGGTGTCATCCTGAACCCAGTATTATGAGGAGGATCCCGTGTAGGTTAGTCCTGCTCCAACTGATAATTGGTCCACCTAGGAATAAGTATCCAGGGGAAAGGGAAGGAGGGAACCTAGCTTTGCCCTCTTCTTACTGAGTGAATAAATGTGTGGTTGTATTGTAAGCTAAAAATTTCCACTTCACACTCAGAAGGAAGCCTCTTTGGTTCACCACCCCAGTGACTGGGAACTGGTAAGGATTCTTATGTTCCACTTGGAAGCATTGTCTACCGTAATGGGAATTTCTGTTGTCGATACATTAAATTGCAAAGTCATTCTAAGTTAACGTATAATTTGGTAACAATAAACAAATGCAAAAAAATAATTTGAAACAATTGAATGCAAACACAGTCAAGGAAAACTGTTGAAAAAGGTATTGAAATGTTAACAAAGTACAATCGTAAATGGTAGTCACATGCAAAAAAAAATCATGTCTAAATTATGCTGTGCCAATCGAGAAAGTGAAGATTGAGCAGGAACATCAGAGATAGCTAGCTGCATCAATATAGGTGGTACAATACTATTAGTGGAGGGTGGTCATATGCTATATACATGTTCAAAAGTGGTACAAAACTTGTGGGATAAATAGTCTGGTGCGCTGTGCGTAAAAATGTTTTAGCAATGCTTAGGTGGCAGAAAGAAGATCAAGATAGCTTTGCATGAATGGAGGTAAGACAATATTGGAATTGAAAGGTAACATATAATAATGATTATGTGGGCTGGATAAACTTGATTGTGAATTGAAGGTCACTAATTGGGGTACTCTAAAGCTAACATACCACATGTAAGAAATGTTACTACTATTATACTTTAGATACTTTGCTCTTATAACAGATAAAATTACACAATTACAATCCCAGTTTATACGCAGGCATGGAACAATCTAGTCACATGATAAAACGTTTATTATTATCTTTTTTTATGTTTAGTATTATGTGCACCGAGTGTTATTTTTTAGTTTCATTATGTAACAATATTAATAATAGCTTACAGGTTTTCCTTGAAGTCCTTTTTGTCCAACTTCTCCTAATAAGCCATGGGTCCCCTCATGTTGGAATAAATTAAATATATACTTAGTACAGGATACAAAACCATATATTCCAGTAGACTAATGTAGTATTGAAAAGCATTTTTTTACATTTTTCTTTTTAGATCACAAGGCACAGGTATGAATATACGGCATTTACAATTATCCTTTCTATGCATTAGTATATTGTTCATCAAGTTGAAGACATTAAAAAAGGAATTTTTAAATTAAACTTAACAAACAGAAGAACACCTTAAATAGAGATCATAACATACAGAATGTAATGAAATATCATAGCAACATTCTGATTTTTTTTTAAATTATAACATAAAACTTGTAACAGTCATAAACTTCAGTTTAGCTTGCTGGAATCACATCAGTGACTAAGACATTCGTCAGCCTATGTACAAAATCATGAAGAAAACATAAGGAAGTCTATCCACAGTAAAACTGTAACTCATAAAACAGGCAAATATGAAATCTAAAATATAATAATGTATATAATTATGATTTCTTTAAAAAAATTAAATAAAATTGAGTTGATCCTAAAACTGTCAAGCATCAATTACTGAATTTTTTTTTTGTGTGAAATTAAAATAATGTGTTAGTTTGATATTCTCGTACTTTCTTCAGTTTTTAATTTGGGATATTATTGGGATGTTCTAAGTATATTAAGTGCAGTGATAGTTCTGTGATTCATTTGTAAACAGTAACTGAAATATATTATATTGCATAAATAAACTAACCAATATTCTGAATACATCAGTTACAGTAACCAGTTTGCACTGTTTTGGGTAATCAAATTATAAAACTTGAGTCTAACATTGAGTCAAATAAAGTAAGCTAACTGTGCTGAATACCGTAGTCATCTTATATACAAGTATATTTGCACAAAATTGTTATTAAGCTAAACTGAAAAAGATTGAATTTTCTTTATGATATTCAATAATTATAACATTAAAACTCACATACATTTCACAAACATGTCGTTTATTACAACCATTGTTTTGCCAGTAAAGACATCATCAGGTACCTTCACTAGTGAAACCGTGGTCATAGTAAATGTAATACTTGTGCAACATACAATTGTCTTTGTTCTCCTCAATTCTGTAATTATGGAATTTCACCAAGTACCAACAGTCTCAGGTCTTGATTATATAAAATTAAAGCTATTAATGCTTTCAGGAATAATGAATATCAATTAAATGAAAGTTTCATATCTGAATAACTTGGATTATAAGTAATGGGAATAATAAGTTACTTTTCTAAGTTTATAACTGACCTAAAATTAATAATACAGTTCACCTGAAAAAAATAAGAGTCATACCCTTTTTCCTTGTGCTCCTTGTCTTCCTGTTTGACCCCGCTTTCCTCTTTTTCCCTAATTTTAAACAGTGTTCACAATTAAATAAAAACACATTTGAATTAAAACTTTTTGCCAAAAGTCTTTTAGATAGGGTTGGATAGAAGCTTTCTAGGTGGTAATTACAATTATTTCATTTGACAACAAACTATAAAGAGTAACTATCATGTTTCCAAATTTTTTTTCACCAGTAGTAATACTTCAAGTTCAATATCACAGTTTTGACCATTTCTTTGAAAGTTAAGTAGGAAAGAGATATTTTGGTCTCATAGTGTTTTTTAAATTGACAAGTATCACACAAAAACATCTATCTAGGTTTATAATTAAACCTAAATTCATATTTTAATAAACATAACTGAAACATAATGAGATGTAATCATGTATGAATTTCTCATCCCGTCCTCTTCCATCTGAATAATTTGTGAGAGAGAGAACAACACATCTTTCTTCCATATTCAAGTCTAAAATAACTTAATGTGAGAGAGTTTGTAAATTTTCCAACTGTTAGGCTTAAAATGAATAATTGATTAGTAAAGCAACATTAATTATGGACAATACTCTGTGAAACTAATAAATGATTCAGATAAAATAATTACTTCCTTGCTTTAGTTTTATTTTAGTGCTTTTAACAAACTGTATAATATATGTGAAAATAAATAAACAAAACAAATAGGCCAAATTTAGACCTTACTCTAAATCCTTTTCTTCCATGGCCACCTTTCTCTCCTTTACTACCCTGAAAACAAAATATAGATAAAAAACTGTTTGAAGATTATTGAAACAATTCACACAGTTTATACAACAGTATAACTGAAACACCAAACTTTTAATTAATACATAATAACTTTTATGCCCACAGAAAAGCAGTAAAGTATCTGAAAATTTCAATTTTTATAACAAACTTTCAAGCAACATATAAGGAAGATGGAATTTTGGAAAAATAATTTGATTATTATTCAATTTAATCTTGAATAAGACAAAATGCAATTACATTTTCACAATAAAGTACTTTATAAACTAATGTACTTCTACTAGAAACTCTTATCAAATCGTAATACTTATTTCCAGCCATATGCCATATTATGAATTAGGTCATATAAAAATATAAATATGTACAATTTAATTAAAGCATGAACATTAATATAAAGTATGCTGTCAGGTTTTTATTCATGAATGGGCAGGATTCTTTAGAGTAGGTGTCTGTAACTTGTTGGTGATAAATTTCAACAATAAACAAACAGCACACAGTCCACTTGTTTTACAATAATATATCAAAACAAGTCAAATATATACAGAAATGTTCATTACATATTAATTAATTGCCACAGTTGTATCCACAGCTTTAATAATCATCTCTTTTCATCAAAGTCCAGGCAGGCTGGTTCAGTTACTTTAGAAAATTAATGACAAGACGAATTATTCTCCTCTGCTCTGTTGTTACAATATAATCAATGATAATTTCATTTATTTTACACAGTTGGTTACCACAGTTGTATCCAGAGCTTTAAATGATTGTCTCTTTTCATCAAAAGTCTATACAGGTTTGTTCAATTACTTTAGAACACAACTGACAAGATGAATGATTCCTCTCTACTCTGTTATTGCAATACAAGCTGTGATACTTCTCTTTCGAAACTGCCAATATATGCTTTTGATATCTAAACTCACAATCATGAAATCTAGATCTACCTATCTATCTTACTATGTCTTCCTTTGTTTAACTTGAACTACATTTTGGACAAGTATTTATAAATAGCCTGACTCAGGCATAGACCTTTCCATACACTATATACACTGAGATATTATGGCGTAATAATACTCGAGAAAAATTTAAAAATTCTAGTAGCATGATGCAATAATACAACAAGTGCCAATTCACAAGAATTGAACTAAACATGTATGATTCGAATAATTATGTAAACAAACATAGGATAAACTATTGCTTGTAGAAATAACTAAACTTAGCACTTGAGCTACACTTAAATTAAAACAGTTGTGTATATCTAACACATGCATTGTACTTAAACTTTATAATGATAGCTTGAGTCATTAACACTACAAATAATGATCAATACATGCATCATATGATGGACAAGGTTTATACCCTACCAAGATATATAACACAAACAGATCTAGTTAAATATAATATCTAAAAGAGAAAAAACAGATACATAAATAAAATCTTCAACTTCTCAACATCAGAGTGAAAAGGTTATGTAGAATTACTGAACTTTCTTTAGCAGCAAATCCATCCCAAACAATGTAAAATTCCATATTTTAGATTTCAAATTAACTTTCACATGTGATAATTGCTTAAACATGTGTATACACAGTTTCAATCAATGTTTTTCTCACTAATAAATGACAGAGGAACTGAAAAATTCCAAAACATTTTTAGTATATTCAAAACTGAAGTTATAAAATCCAGTGTATGAATAGATTTATACTATATTACACAAATTCACATAAATTTTATACTCTCACAACCATAGGCATGGAGGGGATGATTAGGGGGTTCACCTACCATGCAAGTTAGGAAAATCATATTTCTTTGAAAAAAACATTGTCAGGAAAAAATTTTTAAATACTGTGTTTTTGCCAATTTCTATACATTAATATGTTTGCAAAAAAAGTGTTCCTAGATGTTATTCTCATTTCTTCCAACTAAAATACAACTGACTTTTTAAACTTGTATCAGAATCTGCTTAGGAGATGTTGTTTTCTGTGAGAAAATTACAACGAAACAGCCCCCCCCCCCCCAAATTTCACTTGCTATGGCTATGCTCACTACCTCTATATAATCATGAATTATCCATATATTAAGAAATAATAAAGGATAGAACTTTAAGTAATATGAAAATAATTTCTGATCAATAACTATTTTAAAATCAGTCTTACATCACTTGTGGGAAAGGTTTTGTAATGTTTCATAAAAGATGTTTTACAAAGTCATTTAACAAAGTTTAGAATTTTATTGGATAGTCAACATTGTTTCATGAAGGGAAAGTCTTTTGACATTCTTTGAAAAGATTACTGCTCATGTGGATGAGGGTAAGGGTGTAGCTTTGGTGTATCTGGATTTTCAGAAAGCATTTGACAAGATGCCACATAAAAGGTTTATAAAAAATTCTCTCTATGGTTATGGGGTATAAGTTAGCTAATTGTATAGAAGTGTGGCTGGATGGAAGAAAGCAGAGGGTTGTTACAAATGAAGTTCAGTCAAACTGGATTAATGTCACAAGTGGTGTACCTCAGAGCTCAGTCTTTGGACCTTTGCTGAGTGGTCACAAGTAAATAGACACCTATTTTTTTGTCATTTAACTGATTTATGCTAAACTAATTTGTGTTCACAGAGCACTATATAAATGAAAATAGTCCACACACTAATTATCTTGTGCTACAACATGCCTAGAACTCAAGGTTCTCTCGAATTGTCAGATTTTGTTAGAGGAAGGATAGTTGGTCAAGCAGATGGTGGAATTAGTCAGCGGCAAATTTCGCAGAATTAGGGAATCCTGCTTTCGACAGTCAACAGAATCATTGTTCAGTTCAGGAAACATGGCAAGGAAACAACTGAGCAGTGTCCGGGTCGTACTGGTCCATCAGAGAGGACAAAAAGGGCTGTCAAGAGGAGCATCGAAATGGATCCCAGAATAACGACTGCAGAAGTGGCCAAAGTTGGTGGGATGAGCCTGAAATCTGTTCAACGGATTCTCCACAGATTGGGTTATCGTTACAGAGCAGCTAGACGGAAGCCCTTATTAAGACCTGCCAACATAGTCAGACGAAAGAAGTGGGCAAGTGATATGATGACCAAGCCTCTGGACTTTTGGAAGACCGTATTGTTCTCACACGAATCAAGATTCGCTCAATTTTCGGACAGTGGAAGGATATGGGTCTGGAGAATGCCTCACTAAGAGTTTTGGCTCAACAGCCAATGGTGAAGCATGGTGTTTCAGCGTGATAGTTTGGGGAGCTGTTTGGGTTGGTGGGAGATCGAGCTTAGTGGAGTGCATTTTGAGAAATACGTCGAAATATTGGAGGAAGGACTCTTACCACTTTATTCCTCGGGTTTTGTGGACAAGAACACAACATTGTTCGAGGAAGATGGAGCACCGTGCTAGAAACACCCAAAAGTGGCAGGAAGAAAATGGTATCCAGAAGTTGCCCTGGCCGAGCTAATCTCCTGACATGAACCCCATCGAAAACCTCTGGGCCATACTCGACTGGCAAGTCAAGAAACAACCAAAAAAACCAACTTCGAAAAGCGATCTTCTCTAAGTTTTGAAGCAAGAGTGGGCGAAAATCCCACAATCTAAAATTGACTAGATGAATCTCACGATGCCCCAAAGGATCAACGAACTCCATGAAGCTAAAGGAAGATCTACAAGATATTAATTGAATTAAAAATATATCAATTCATGTGAATATGACTGAAAAATTTCATTTTTTCTGAAAAGGTGGTGTCTATTTACTTGTGACCACGCTGTGTAAATTACTTAAATTTGCTGATGATATTAAGGTCTTGGGAGTTGCTAGCTGTGAAGAGAATGCTGCTGATTTAGAAAAGGATTTAGAGAGTTGGGCAAATAAATAGCAAATGGGTTTTAATTATAATAAATGCAAAATAAAGCATGTGGGTTATCATGATTTGAATTATAAGTATAATTTGGATGGGAATAACCTGAACAGTGTTATGAAAAAAAGGGATCTTGGTGTAATAGTTGATCAGTCTCTAAAGCCATCCAAACAATGTGCTGTTACTAGTGGTAGGGCAAATAGGATTTTAATTGTATTTACAGAAATGTTGAATACAAGTCTAAAGAGGTTATAATTTCATTGTATAGGTCACTGGTTAGGTAACATTTGGAATACTGTGTTCAGTGTTGGGCTCCTTACCTTAGGAAAAGTACTGAATTGTTGGAAAGGGTTCAGAGAAAGATTACTAGAATGGTAATTGTGTTTTGGCACTTGTGTATAAAGTTAAAATCATAAATAATATTCAATGTCAAAATTAGTACACAATTAAAAAAATTTTCTTTAGGCCTATCTATGGCCTTCAAAAAGTTGACGACTCTACATGTTTCGACGTTGCAACGTCATCCTCAGGATTGAATTACAAGACAATGCTAAAGTATTTATAACTTTTTAGTAGGTCATGTGACCTGTACGCTATTTTACATAAATTAACGCTAAACCATTCAGAGGAGATCAATCCACATTCTTGAAGAAATATTTGCCATACCTTCATCTCTATTTAATACTACATGATTTTTTTTATGTTTTATTATTTCTAAGGATTCACAAATATTATTAGCTCTTATACTTTTTGGTTGAGGTAATATTACAGTTTTTTCCCATAATATTGTTTGTTGTGTTTCCTGTACATGTTCTGCTATGGATGAATTTTCAGTTTTTTTTATTTTTTACATATCCTTATGCTCATTTAAACGGTATTTTAAATTACGTTTTGTCTGACCAATGTAAATACTTCTATTTTATATATTCCAGTTTTTCAGTTAACTGTATTTCGTCTTTCGTAGTACCTAACATTTGATTCATTTTATTTATCGGTTTAAATATCTGTTGTTTTTTAAACACTTTAAATAAACTAGTAGTTAAACCTGGAACATATTGTTACGTCTCCGTTCGTTAGTTGATTTTCCATAACTTTGTTCCCACGAAACTTTAGCGACACAAGTCCTTTCTTAATAAAACTGGTTTATTCTTTCCAAATATAACTTTACTGATACACATATTTTCAACAGTCGCTCTATAACAAACGCTATAACAACGAACTTCAACAATACTTTCTGACTGCAGTTCAATTACTCACTACCTACACACACTATTATCCCCGTCACGTTGTGAGCGTCTTATATATATACCAGACTAACATATATCTAGTAAATGCTAGGGCATTCACGAAGGATCAGGATATTTCTAGAAACGTGGCATGACACTTGTCACGTGACCTCGTTGACGCAACAATATGGTAAAATTAAGCCTTCCTTTCTAATAGTTTTGAAGGCCATAGATAGGCCTAAATAAAATGTTTTTAATTGTGTACCAATTTTAATGTTGAATATTATTTATGATTTTACTAGAATGGTGCCTGGGATGGAGGGGTTGTCACATAAGGAGAGGTTGAAATCTCTCAAAATTGTTTTCTCTTGAAAAAAGAAGAGTTAGGGGGAATCTAATTGGGGTGTTTAAGATTGTTAAGAGAATTGATAGTGTTGATGCATCATCTTTTTTTTTTTTAACAGGTGACACAGATATAAATTTTGGCAGGGTAGGAGTCATTTTCAGCTAAGACAGTTTTACTTTTCTAACAGGTGGTTGGCCTTTGAAATGGGTTGCCTTCAGATATTGTAGAAGCAGTAAATTTAAGTGAGTTTAAGAAAAAGCTTGATAAGTATATGAATGAAAAGGTCTGGCTTTAAGATTTATTTATTTTAATTTTGTTTAGAGGACAGAACAGCTGAGATGTTGTCCCAAAAAGTTATGTTATGTTAAACAAGGAACTAATACTTCTAAAGCATAACCATAAACTAGATACAACTGCAGGAAAGTTATATGAGTTTTATGAGCAATAATTCAAACAAACATTGATCTAATTCTTTTTCTTTTTCATTAAGCTAGAAATAATTAAAGATGCTAAACTAAAATCCAACCTTAATTCCCTTTGACCCTGGAAATCCAAATACTCCCAGATTTCCCTTTTCTCCCTGAAACAAAAGTAGAATTGCAATGAAGAAAATACTTCAAGAAGTATAAACTAAACGTATTTCTAAACAAATCTATTCATTTTACTCACGGAATGACATGCTATTTCAGATCCTAGATCAGCACATGTGCATGATTCAAAGAAAATTCTTATGTACAGTATATATATAGTAACTCTTACCCTAGTAGCCATATATAAAGATTAAATAAGGTTTAAAAAACAAATTGGGGATTTTCTAAGATTGGAAAAATCAATGCCTAACAATGAATTAGCCAAATACTTTTCTAAACCTAACTGAATTAACTAACATTCCAAAGAATTCAAAATTAATTCAAAGTTTTTATTTTTATTCATAATTTTATAAGTGAATATCTGTGCACCAATTAAGTGAGAGAAAATGGAGCACTATATAGTGGCCAGGATTGATAATAAAACAAAATAAAAATTATCCTATGAATACCTTTTGTTCTTCTGCAAAGAGTGTCACATCCTATTAAGTATAATTATATTTTGTTTTACAGCTTAGATATTCAGCAAAATAAAATATAATAACTTTTTCCTTTAATGAAAACAAATAAAGTCTTAAAAGCATCTAAAATTTTATACAATAAAATCTATTGGCACTTCAGTTAAAAATACTCAAAAATATACCGGCAATCCAGGTAGGCCTTGTTTTCCAGGATCACCTTTTGAACCTGTTGGTCCCTAAAAATTTTTTCAAAATTACTGAGAACCATGTAACAATAGAGTATATTTACATATAGATATTACATATTAAATGTTTTCAAATTATCATATTTTAAATTCTACTTGTTTTATTTAATAAACTTTGCATGATTCTTTCTTATGGGTTTACAAAACTTGTGGAAAAGCAAATATCAAAAGTGTAAATTGTCAAAATTCTAAATTTTCATATGTGATGTTAAAGGCTGCAAGTAACAAAAATATAAAAAAATTGTAGGTATAACAGTTGCAGATGAACTTATTTACACCATTAAACCTCTTAAAAAAGCACACCCATAGTAAATTTGTATTTAGAAAATAGTTATCCCCACAGGAGCCAAATGCTTACCCACTAACTGTGAAAGTGGAGACATGTAAGTATTACTCTCAAACACCAGCCAGTTTAGCACAGGCAATATTCATCAAAGAAACATGTCACAAAATGAACAGCAAAAAACTCTGCTACCAAATTATCAAAACCATCAAACTACTATTCATTGATTAGTATTATTTTTCTCAACTACAACATGTATGTAGTCATTTTCAAATACTACATCTGCTCTCAATTTCTCCTCATCTGTTTAGATAAGTTTCCAAATAAGCTTCAGAAGTAACATTTATTTTCAACTACTTTACATAATCAGTTTATCTTAAGCCCACAGATAAACAGCAACACCTTCTATACAAAAGTTACAAACTACTCAGTTGCCTAAAAATATCAATAAAGAACATTCATGAACTGTGTTATACAATCATTGAAAACTTACTAGAAAAAGAGAATAAATTCACTTGATCTATAAAATAATATAAATTATAAATAAGTCTCAACATAATCAACAAAAACATGAAGTTCTTAATATTGATAATTGCATACAAATATTAAAGTGAAGTATAATTACATATAAATTTACTTTATTAACAAAGTCTTTAATAATGTGGTGTAAAAATAACAACAAGGCTTAACTACAATTGAGATGTATCAGAAGTCACCTATCAGCCCTTCTCAAAACAAAAGTACAAAAACTATGAAATATTTATATATCTGAACAAAGTATTATATTACAACATTCTAGACAAAACAATATATCATACATTTGTGAATTTAATCATATGAATAACATATAATATTAATGATGGAGTTTCCTATGGTTATTCTGGGAGACAATGTTTCAGTTTCTACCTTGAAACCATCTGTAATTCATAAAGAAAGTTAATAATCACTGAGAAAGAAACACCATTCACCTCCTAAACCATGGCAGAGGTCACTCATTGAAAATGACAATTCTGCTATGACTATGTCACTTAAAAAACTTTAGGTTGAATATAAAATACCATTGTAATTGCATAGCCATATATCTTCAGATTTTGCAGTATACTTATTTCTGTGGCAGATTTTTTTTGTGGCACAAAATGACAAATATTTTAAATGTAAATTTTCTCAAAACAATATTTGGTACAATGTTCAGGATTTATCGCTAGAGATATTAAAACTTACAGGGTACAAAAATCCATCTGTCTCTCCTGTTCCTAGTACAATTCCGCCTGGAGGGCCCTCAAAGAAAGCATAAAAATACAGGTAAGAAAATTACCCTCCAGAATGGAACTTTTCTGGAATAAGGATTTTACAAAGGAATTTAAAAATATTTGTTTATACTTCGTTCCATCATTAAAATTGTATATATATATACATTAGTGTTTTTTAAGAGAAACAGTTTAAATTTTAGTTTGATCTATCAGTATCAACTACTCTACTACTTCACGATGCGAATATCAAAGTAACATTCTGTTTTTCAAAGAAACTATAAATCCTCATAAATAAACGTATCTACATGATCATAATATAAAATTTCTTCAATTAGTTCCATGTCTATTACTAATAAAAAAGAAAGAAAAGTTGCAACAAACTGGTAGGCCAGCAGGTCCGGAAGGTCCAGGGAAACCCTTCTCTCCTGATTCTCCCTAAAATTTACAATACGAAATATTTGATTTTTTTAAACTAAAAACAGATTGTTTTAATCAAAAACTATTTTCACTAAAACAAACTGTCCTGAACTTTATCTTTTACCACTAAAAAAAATTCTTTATCATAAGAAACAACTAATGCAGTGTAACTTTCATTAACCTAATAACCCTCGTGTTCACCAAACTAGATATAACGAACGTTAAGATCTAGAATTTAAAAATGGAAATGCTAGTCCCCGAGAAGCTAGCGTGAATAAATCACTTATATCAGAAGAGCTGATGATGTTAATATGATATCTTTGGCTTAATTTAATATTGATATTGTGAAATGTTCAACGTCAGAACTGATAGCTTATATATCAACATCAATATAAATCAAACACCATAAATTTGAAGTATTTTACTCTTCATATGGATAATGGGAAAGTGGGAAAATGTGATTGTAAAACACTACAAGCAGAGAAGTGCAGTTATTGACGAATGATAGTAATTCCTAATTATTGACGATGTACCTCATATATTTTTAATCTGAGGTAAAAATGTCATTTACTACTAATAAAACCTAATGCTGTATGATTAATAATCATAGTACATTTTAACGAGTTCAAGGAAGGATAGTGTTTATAAGTAACTGTCATCTGTTTTTGTGTTATGTTGACTGTCTCTAGCCCGGAGAAGAAAAAGCTATTCATTTCCCCGAAAGGGGGCAAAAGGCCGCCTGGAGGAGTCACCTGTT